AGAAATATTTGAATGTAGTTTCTGCATCTTCTTCCTAACGTATTGTCTTTTTGGCATAAAGAATTGTCAAGGTGCTTAAAAATGTTATAGTCACTAGTCGAGAGATCAGGTGAATATGATGGATGTGGCAAAGCCTCGTGTCCCAAGTCGGTGAGCTTCTGCAGTGTCATCCGGGCAACATGTGACCGAGCATTGTCATGAAGTAGAGTTGAACCTCGTCGATTAACCAGTGCCATTTGCATTTTGCTTAACTGAATGTGCACTTATGACACTATAAAGAAGGCGCTGGTAAATTGGGGAAAAAAGCTATAAAAATAAACTGGAAAACAAGAAAAGAAACGCTGTTTTTCGATAGACCGAAAGTATACTGATGTCAAAACAAGAAAAAAGGCTATTTTTTCAATAGACTGAAAGTAAAGGATATTTGTCTTCTTTTCGGGGTTGAGATGCCGACGACAGCTAGCGAAGAAGCCATCTGTTTTTGGTCAAATTAATATTTACTGATGGTATTTTCTTAAGTGTTAGAGTCTGGCCTTGTTCCAGACTACCAAATACAATTGAATGGTCGGCCTGAAAAAATCACAGAGTGAAAGAAATCAGACTTCAGCCTTATATCAGTTTACCGAGAGTGGCTAAACATAGTATCACGAGGTATGAAGGGGGAAGGTACTGAAAATCTGCATGTTAATTCAGTGAGTAAAACGTTCATTGTATGAATATTTGATATAAAGTGTTGTGTTACACAGCTGTCTCTTACTTTTTTCCTTGTGATGTCATCTCGCCAAAGCTACCGGATCAGCGAAGTTGAGTATACGACTCTGTCTTCGCCCGCTCTGTGATCGAAAACAAACACAACGTGGGTTAGGGTGGGATTGAGGATCAGGGCAACCAACTCAATAGCTGGTCGTAAGGATTGACGTCAGACTTGCCCGGTGACTGATGACGGGATTATGATGCCATACACTTCATACAGATGCCGGCAGTAAACTTCGCCAGTAATGCTCTGCTTAGATTCCAGAAATCTCTAATGGACAACGGTCAATCGCTAACCACTAAACAGTCACCATAATCTTCGGTTTTGGAAAGTGTTTGCGTCCTTTGTCCGTCATTCACTTTCTGAGCGACGGTTCGGTTCAACTCTCTGTCTACGGACGGAGAGGAACCCGAAGGAGGCTACGCCGAAGGGCGGAGTCTCCTTCGGGGAGGTAAAACCGGCCCTGAACCCGTTTATAGGGGTTCAAATTGGGCTATTTTTTGGCCGAGCCTAATGGCTCAGAAATGCCCACGTTAAAGAGGCCTTGTGCCACATGACGCCCTCGTTGGGGGGGACGACTAAATATAGTCCTTTGTCATGATCAAGTCATTGAGCTGATCGTTTACGATTCTCATAAAGGATCCATTTCACAATATTCAATATTCGATCAAGGAATAGCTCATTCGGATTTCGCAGGTGCAGAATCGAAGACACTTCAAAACGTCAAAGTCTTTGACTTTCACTGATTTCATGTGGAACCCATGTGGAACCCAATTCTCTTGAGAGGATCTGATGTTGTTAAAATGCTTACACTCATTATCTGGGTTATTTCTCTGACACTTTCGGTTTTGTTCGACTAGGGTTTTCAGATATTGATGGTCAACATCAGATGGACGTTTTCTACCACCTTGATCTTCAAGACTCGTATCCCCACTGCGGAATTTCAGAAACCAAAATCGGGCTGTCCGATCAGAAGTGTGTCCTTCGCTCCATGCTCTGTTACTGTTGGGAGCAGTTTGAGAAGCGTTGTGACCAATTTTGAAAAAAAAAAATTAAATAAGTAAACGCATCTCTCCTTTTTTTTATGTTCATATGAGGACTATATGTTTGAAGTTAAATTCTGAAAGAGTTTGATATAAAATTAACCAGAAGGACACTTTAATCTTGAGGATGGAGTAATACTATTATAATAATATATTAGAACACAAACGGTTTATTTTAAAATCGGATTATTATTTTCCGATCAAGGTAATAGCAGGTCAGATTGGTCTCTCAAGTTTTGATCGTAATCAGTCTAGAAGAAAGACAACTCAGAATCCCAAAACAGTTGGGTGTGGGCTAGAAACTCCACCCCGTAAAAACCTATTCGCTAGGTAAACTACACCCGCAACACCTAGCGTGATAAGGATGTGGCTTTATATTCCACTGAGAATCAACATGGTTAAAAGAAAGAAAAAGGAAAAAAAAATGTTGCATTTCGTTTTTATAATTTTTTTCCCAAAATCTGGTGACGGTTCGCAAGAGGAACTGGATTCAAGTCTTCCCCAAGAGTATATTAGTGCAAAAAATACGCAAGCAGCGTCAGACGATTCCGCTTTCCATACAGATATATCATACGTTACCTCACACCTCCTACAGCGAGTCATTAATCACTCTCACCTTAAATTACGTAGACATCAATTTAGCGAAAATCAGTTACGAAACAAAATATAAATAAGTAAGAAATGTTTGTTTTTTTCCCCCCAGAAAATTGGGCTTTCTCGCAATCCCTGGATTATTTTTCTACCTAACATATTCCTCGGAGATTTGGCACAACGTATACATATTAATGAGTATATCTAAATAATAGATAGAACGAAAATACAAACCAGAAAAGATAGTATTAGTTTAAATATTACAACCTCAATTATTTTCTAGAGTGAGACAGTGAACTGAGTTTCGGAAGTGAGCTTTAGCCCCTATAGGCTTTCGAGGCAAGGCGTTTCTTTGTCTTGCTCATTGTCTCGCTCCAGAAAATACCAGACTCCTGCTGCTGTGCTCTATCTTTTATAAGAGTCAGATCTGACTAAGAAGGGAAGTATTGCTGCCGTATCTAGGCTGTTGCTGTCCAATACTCACCGTCCAGCCTTGACAGAGTTCAGAAGCGCTTACGCAGCCTTGTGAGCGATGAATTCTTCTCTACACCGAAACATTTATTCCTCAGACAAAATGTCGCCAACCTTTCACTACTATATCGCTATTAACTATGGCAGATGTCCGGTCGAGTAACATTCCTTAATTGCGCCGTGTTCACGATGACAGACCATCACCATTCCCTTGATGTTCCTTTGATAAAGAGCAAGTTCCATTAAGACAGCATTTTTCCCAAAACTATTGCTTTGTGGAACAGACTCTCGATAGGAGGCTTCCCTGACAACTACAATCTTCGTCTCTTTAAGTTTAGGGTCAACTGATAATTGTCCTACACGTTCACATAGCATGCATTTCTTAATTCCTCTTCCCTCCTAAAACAATCTTATTCAGTAACTCTCTACCTTGAGTGGCTCTTGGGCCTTCTATTGCGTTAACTAACAGGCTTTCACTACTATATCACAATTTCTATGGCAGATGTTCAGGCGAGTTACATTAGCTAGGTGCCACCAGTTCAGTTCTTCACAGTTAGGACCCGCCAAGCCATGTTCACGATGTCAAATCATCACCATTCCCTTCGTGTTCCTTTGATAAAAAGCCAGTTCCACTCAGACAGCTTCTTCCCAAGACCTATTACTTTTTGGTACAATTTCCTAAGAGAATGATTACCTGACAACTGCAACCTTGGTCTCTTTCTATGGCAGATGTCCGGGCGAGTTACATTAGCTAGGTGCCACCACTTCAGTCCCACTGCCTTACAATCTTACCCACATTTCTCGCTCACATTTCACTCACTCACATTTTCTAAATACGTGAAACGGGAGGTAGACCTCACTCTATAATAGCACCGAAGTCAGGACACCTCGAGGTGGTGTAATGGTCAGCAAGCGTGTCTCGCTAGAACAATTACGACTGTGTAGTGAGTTCGATTCTCACTGGGTGCCCTCATACTTTCGGCCTTGTGCCACATCTAAGCTACGCGTGGAAAATCACTTTTGGGCACCTCGAGGTGGTGTAATGGTTAGCAAGCTTGTCTCGCTAGAACAATTATGACTGATTAGTGAGTTCAATCCTCACTGGGTGCCCCTTACTTTCGGCCTTGTGCCACACCCAAGCTACGCTTGGAAAATTACTAGGCCGGTGTAATCGATAATAAGCTTGTCTCGCTAAAGCAATTACGACTGAATAGTGGGTTCGATCCTCAGTGGATGCCCCATACTTTCGGCCTTGTGCCACATCTAACCTGTGCTTAGATAATCACTATTAGCACCAAAGTAAATTAAAAATAGAACTAGGAAAAAAAAAACAATAATGAATTTGAAAAAGAATATTTTTCACGAGGAAAATTGTTTTATTCTTATCTTTTATTTCCTTTTATTTATTTTGTGAACTTACTTTACATGTATATTTGGTATCGCTTTTCACCCTTTTAGCCTCGAGGCGTAAAATTAAGCAATAAATCCAGTTCAGAAGTGGGTTGTCTTCCCAAGCAATGCCTCTTCCCCAAGAGGTAGCTAGGTTCATTATCTGGCGCTTGAGGCTACTCCAAAAGTGGAGGTGATGAGAGGACAACTGTCTTTTGACTCCTGCTCCCATCAACATCTAGGATCTCCACTGTAAACCTGTTCGGGTGGTCCTTAAAAATCCCTTACGTGGGTACTTGGTTGGTCACGTGATACTGGGACATGTACGAAGTTACAAGCTATTCTCAAACCTGTAGCGTTCTCAGTCGAACTTTGTTGTGTTCGCAAGGACATTTCATGATAGCATTGCTGGTTACGTGTCGAACTGCTAGAGCGAGACGATCCAAAGAGAACTAGAACTATTTAATAATCTTAACCCATTATACATAGACTGAGTGATTTTTTTTTTTACGGCTTATCAACCTTTGGAAGGATATTTAAAGCCAGAAAATATTTTTTTGGAATTTTAAGAAATGTTTTTGAGATAATAATGATTTTACTGATACAAGTCGACCCATAGAGAAGAGGTGGATTCATGCCTTCCACAAGAGTATTTGCGCGTAAGTGAATATCACGAACTCGATTGGAGTTCGAACTCGGCCCTACGATTTCCAGTTCCAAGCCGTTATCCATTAAGCCACCCTCACATCTAAGCTTACACACGGTCAACCATCTAGCTACTGACCAGGCTCGACGTTGCTTAACTTCGGTGATCGGATAACAACCGGTGTTTCAACGTGATATGGCCTGAAACCAATATATGTATAAGACAATGTAGCAAACTTAGAAGTAAAACTGAAAGGAGTTTTACATACACTGTGTTCCACCATTATATGCAAATAAATATAAATAATTGTGAAACTAGTTGTGCTAGAGGAGTGGTTCCCAACTTATTTTAGGCCATGGCCCCCTTTGATATTTCGAAAATTCTGGTAATGTAATATTTAATTCTTACATATTCAAAATTTTACTGCAATTCATTTGAAGGAAGCTTAAAATGCCATTAACTTGGTCTCTAAACAAGCCTCCAAAACCATAGCGCCATGAAAGAGAAAATGAAAAAAAAAAACAGTTAAATATATATACTTTCTAAACATAGAGAATTGAAAGGCAGAAATATAAAATATTTGAATGAAAGCTTATTCTCTAATATACTTTGATCATTTTAATCATGAAATAATAATGCAAAATGAAATTTGATCTCACGTTAGCCGAAGGGTGCACATCCTACGCATGCCCCACCAAAATATTACCATGCTCCACCGGTGGGGCATGCTCCCCACCTTGGGAGTCATTGTTTTTGAGTTATCAAATGTTGGTCAAATATAAGTAATTTTTGGAGGTCTGAAAAACTGTACTCACTTTTTGCCTTCCTATAATTTCTTCATTATTTTTTTCTTTTTTCAGATCCATTGCACCTTAATAATGGAAGGAGGATGATTAAATTTTGAAAAAAAAAACATTTGTCATAAAGTGTTTCTGGAAGCACGAAAACATCAAAGAAGTGCAAAGGCAATTCAATAAATAGGTTCACAGAGATCTACCAACGCGAAATACCATTGCTAGCATCAGACATCAATTTGAAGTAGATGGAACTGTTCACGACGTTTATAAGCAACGTCCAGGAAGATTACGACCATCTTCCAGCGCCTTCAAAATAAGAACAGTGGCTGATAAACCTCCTCCGATCTCCAAATGGTGATCGTCAGTTTTGAATATCTATGAACATGAATTTAATTTCATTTAATATTTAATTTAAACACTTAATCTTCTTTGTAAATCAATAAAAAAATGTATTATTTCTTAATTTTAACCATTACTCTTGTTTGCAACTCAATAAATACTGCACTTATTGTCATTTAAATCAGGGACCGGTAACCTACAGTACGCGTGCCAATCATGGTACGCCAAGCAATTTCCAATGTTACGCAGCCGCAAATGACACCACGAAGTCCGAACCAATAAATACTACAACGCAAAGAAGATATTTAGCTGTTTCAATTTTAATATACACTAAAGTATATATACTATATATTACTATATAAAATATATAGCAGAACATGTATATTGACCTTGACTTGTATAAAAAATATGTGTGTTGTTGGCATACTGAATGATTTTAAGATCCTAAGTCGGCACATAGTTAGCAAATGGTTGCCGATACCTGATGTAAAGAATGAGTACATTTTTAGGATATTCTGTAGACTGTAATTTATACGGAATATCACAAAATTTATGATTATATTAGTTTTGTGACATACGGTGGCCGTTAATAATTAAGTATAACTCAAGACTTCAGTGTTAAGATAAAACAGTATCTAATTACAACCGCAAATAAATACTTAATAAGAACAAAGAAATAAAAGTCAACCAAAGATAATTAACCAAATGTCTGGTAAATCCTAAATCAAAACCCAAGTTATCGACTCACAATAATTCACACTAATTCGACTGGATAGTTCCACTCAATAGTCACTGCAGTCAGTAGCCTGACACCGCTATTTATACACCTGGCAGATGTCACGCTCGAACCTCGGTGTCGGTAGTTGCTCATTTTTTTTTCTATATGACAGTTAGAATGTAGAATTTCATTTATACTGGAATATAAAAAATATAATTATTTAGTGCGTTCCAGTTTATATGCAAATATGTCAAATGAATCAATTTGAAAGGATTAGCAGATAAATAAATGACATTAGCTCAATACAACGTTGATTTATTTAAAGGAATGCCAATGAAGCAAAGTATTACGAGCAGATAACAGAAAAGGAATATTATTTGCTGGTATAATTTCCATTTTCTAATGGTTTCAAACAAGTCTAGTTTCCATAGAAGACGATCAATTCAGGACTTTTTCATGGGTGGCGGCTTCACAAGCAGTTGATACTGCTTTCCAAAGTTCATTCTTGTATAAAAAAAAATTGTTTGCCGCTCTCATAACGCCTCTCTTGGCGATGTTCCAGTTATTTTCAATGGGGTTAAGATCCCGTGAACACCCTGGCCACACTATGAGCCGATCATTTCTTTTAACCCTAATTCAGTGTTCAGTGATTGCGATAGCAGTATGAGCTTAAACATTGAATGCCAGTATCTTTTTCTTGAGCCAAGGCTTAAGGTTGATCCTTAGGAATTTAGCATAATTATGTACAATAATGGATCATATGCAATATAGGTGAACAATTCAACTAGAAAAATTGAAAATAAATACAATGTATCTAAATTCAAATGAGAGACATATAATAGATCATTTCATCTTAAATAAATCAACAAAGTTTTGCGACAATTTTTAATATCTATTTGAGATTATTCTTGTTAAAAAGTTGAATAGTTTTAACGCATTCAACATTATGGATAAAAGTAGTGAATTTTAAATAGTATTTTTTTTTTTTGAGACTTAGCAAGAGTAAAAGAAATTTCACGGATCAGGACGGAAAAAATAGACCTCAGAATGACGTCAAAATCCACGAAAGAATGTTCATCCTTTTAATAGTCTCTTGTGCTCAATTTAATTTGTAACGTATGTAAATGTAGGTAGAAAATTAAAGATAAGATAGCAAGGGTCACAAAGCAATGCCGGGGACCTTTACTCAGCCTTCCTTCACCAGTTGAGAGGTTTGGGGTACCCACTGGCCCAGTCTGTTGCAACAGTACATCTATTGTTTTATTTTCCCCTTATTCGTTCTTTTTTTGATTTAGATACATTTTGCATTAGTCAGATTTCCTAATTGATTTTAAGACATTTAGGCCAAACCCACATAAAATAACATTTTTTACTCTAACCTAATTATGTACAATAATGGATCATATGCAATATAGGTGAACAATTCAACTAGAAAAATTCAAAGTAAATACAATGTATCTAAATACAAATTAACAGGCATGTTATAATAGATTATTCCATATTAAATAAATCAACAAAATTTTGCGGCAATTTTTAACATCAACTTCAGATTTTTCTTGTTGAAAAGCTGAATACTTTTAACGCATAAAACATTATGGATAAAAAATAGTGAATTTTATATAGTATTTTTTTCGTGATTTAGTACGATTCCTGGATTTGCAGAAAAAAATAAACAAACCCCAGAATCACGCTAAAATCCTCGATAATTTTTCATCCTTTAATAGTCATCTGAGCTTAGTTTAATTTGTAACGTATATAATAAATGTTGGTAGAAAAAAAAGAACAAACAAACAAATGCTGGTAAGATGGCGAATGTCAAAAACACTGCCCGGGGTCCCCAATCAGACTCCCCACCCCTGGTCGGTGTTAGTACGCAACGATCCTGTATCTTCCCTTTGTCAAAACGTCCACTGAGGGCCAATGTTGCATATAAGTTTGAATGGTGGGAAAAAAAGCAATATCATCAAAATGGATGCCAATTGTTTTTTTACTGCGCAAAACCACGTGACAGTTTACTCTATTGCGCATGCCAATGCTGCTAATCTTTTTTCTTTTCTTTTTTTTCCTGAATTTCTGGGATGAGGAGTTATCAATATTTATACTATTGTCCACATCTTTGTTCTTATCGCACCGTTTCGGCCGTTGTGCCCTCCGGCCTTCCTCAAGTGTATATCGAACTAGGCAATCTACAGGGAATTCTGAACTGAACCGTTTATTTAATCACCGGGGTTAGACTGTTCTCGTTCCACTTCCCATGTCTCTCGAGTTCTAGTTCTTATTTTATTTAATACTCTTCAGTTATTGCTCACCCGTTCAAATAAATGGTGTAAATAATGTCAATCTTTTATTTAAAATTCGTAGCAATTCCTGAGGATAATTTAAGGAATGCGATTTGCATATAATGTAGTAACGCATAATAAGGTAGTAAAAGAAAGGGAGAACAAAGGACTAACTATTAACTGTAAGAAGACAATATATAGTCGTTGACAAAAGAGACAGCCCACAGTATGAGGTACGAAATGAGGACATTAAAATCAAGCAGGTATAAAATCTATTTGGGTAATGTAGTAACAGACGACAGAAAATGCGACATGGAAATCTGAAGTTGCACAGGAATAGCGAAAGATGCCTTTAAGAAACTAAGCAAAGTATCCTATTATAATAGTGCTTATCACTCCTTTCGTTAGTTCTCACGGCCATTAAATGGACTATTCTGTTTTGAGAAAAGAAGGGGAAAGACGCTACTTGGTTTCAGCGGGAAAACGCAAGAAAGAAAGAACGATAAAAGTATTCAACGTCTCCTGCCAATACCTCATAAATAATGGACTATTCCGTTTTGATCGCGTGAAAAGAGGCGCCGGATTCTATGTCATATCTATTTTTCTATGTGACAATATATAAGTCACCATTTATTTCTCGTTCGGCTATGTTAATTCGCTGCCCGTTTTCCAATATACAGTCACCGATCACATGCTTAGCCTGATAACGCGAAAAGGCACTCCCAACAAACCTTCGTAAAAAATGTACTCATTAAGCTAAAAGCGATTTTTAAAAATTCTTCTTGTATCGTGTCCCTTCAGGACGGGGGCGATCCTGGCTTTCCACAACTTCCTATGCCTGGTAGATTTTAAAGTACTGTTCCTCATTTTATTAACCCTCCCAGTCCTTGTTCTGACAGCTATTTACACAAACTCTTTAGGTGGTTCACTAAATGTTTTCTTCTGCCCTTCTTTCCTTCAATATGTCCTGTAAGTGTCGAATCTTCCAAGCTTTTCCTCAATGTGTGTTCGAGAAATTTTAACTGTCTCTTTCTAATTCTAAGTGTTCTTTTAGTTTCCATTTTCCTT